TCACCATTTTGACCAGGATGGTCTCGATCTCTTGACCTCGTGATCCACCCGCCTTGGCCTCCCAAAGTGCTGGGATTACAGGCGTGAGCCACCGCGCCCGGCCTTACCTGAAATTTTCTAAGAGAGCAGATCTTAAAGTGTACTCACCACACACACATACACACACACACACACACACACACACACACACTCACACACAATGATAATCATGTGTGGTAATGGATGTGTTAATGTGATGTGGTAGTCATTACACAATGTGTATGATACGCCTTCAATTTTAATTTGTGAATTATGCCTCAAAAAAACGGGGGGAAAAAGAATTCAAGTGTGTAAAGTGGCAGGCACATGGAAGGAACCCAGTAAAAAGTACTCATTATATTATTACTGACAAGATACTGATTGGTTACATGTTAAAGAAAACATACAATACAAAATGACTCAAAGACTCATGCCTGTAATCCCAGCACTTTGGGAGGCCAAGGCAGGCGGATCACCTGAGGTCAGGAGTTTCAGACCAGCCTGGCCAACATGGTGAAACCTTGTCTCTACTAAAAATACAAATATTAGCACAGCGTGGTGATGGGTGCCTGTTATCCCAGCTACTCAGGGGGCTGAGGCAGGAGAATCACTTGAAACTGGGAGGCGGAGGTTGCAGTGAGCCAAGATTACACCATGGCACTCCAGCCTGGACAACAAAAGTGAAATTCCAACCCCCTCCACAAAAAAATAAATAAATAAAATATAAATATAAAATTTAGCTGGATGTGGTGGCACACACCTGTAGTCCCTGCTACTTGAGAGGCTAAAGCAGGAGAATCGCTTAAGCCTGGGAGGCGGACGTTGCAGAGAGCTGAGATCGCACTGCAGCAGAGGGAGATTTTGTCTCAAAAAACAAACAAACAAAAAAACCAGAAAAAGTTGGTTCTATCTCCTCCCACTCTCCCCCTTACCCACCCACCCCCAAGTACTCATCCTGGTGGCCAGGCATGGTGGCTCAGGCCTGTAATCACAGCACTTTGGGAGGCTGCAGCGGGCAGATGGCTTGAGCTCAGGAGTTCAAGACCAGCTTGGGCAACACTGCGAAACCTCATCTCTACTAAAAAAATTAGCTGGGCTGGATTCAGTCAGAACAGGGCTCAGAGCCAGAGGTCAGGGTGACTGAGGTGGAGCAGTTGTGGGCAGTGGGCTCATGGACATCAAAATTTTTCTTTAAAGATTCCTTTCCCATGAGGTTGCAGACCTGGAGACCCAAAGCAATCAGACTCGACCTCAACTCTCAACATTTTGCTTCGGAGTCTCTGCCAGGCTTTCTGTCTACCCCTTGTAACATGGTGCTCTGAAGACTTTGCAGGTCAGGCTCATCTTCTGAAAATTCCAGAACACTGAAAATGATGTGAGCAACTCTTTTCATTTTTCCTAAGGTTGGTACCTAATGAGCACCACTCTGAATGCACAGGAGAGAAGTGAATTCATTAGAACAATGAATGCCATGGGGTGGCAGGGCTTAATTTTCTTGCGGAACCTGGTGGAGAAAGGCCCCAGTGGATTCTTCCTGTAGTTCCCAATCTGTCAGACTCTAGTGTGTCTTGGCTCCTGCCATTGAGGATATAAATGCACCCTGCTCACCACTCCCTCCCCCCTGACTCCCCCCTCCCTCCAGCCTCACTAGGGATGTTGGACCGGGCAATGCTCTTGTCAGTAAAGAAGTACTGATACATTTGGGTTTTTGTTTTGTTTTGTTTGTGTTTTTGAGAGGGAGTCTTGCTCTGTCGCTAGGCTGGAGTGTAGTGGCACCATCTCGGCTCACTGCAAACTCTGCCTCCCAGATTCAAGCGATTCCCCTGCCTCAGCCTCCCGAGCAGCTGGGACTACAGGCACACACCACCACGCCCGGCTAACATTTGGGTTTTTTAAAAAATGGTTTTCTTTTATTTTTCTTTTTCGAGATACAGTTTCACTCTATCACCCAGGCTGGAGTGCAGTGGCACGATCTCAGCTCACCGCAACCTCGGCCTCCCAGGTTCAAGCAATTGTCCTGCCTCAGCCTCCCGAGTAGCTGGAATTACAAGCACCCCCTCCACCAGGCCTAGCTAATTTTTGTAGTTTAATTAGAGATGGGGTTTTGCCATGTTGGCCAGGCTGCTCTCAAACTCCTGACCTTAAGGGATCCACCCCCACTCAGCTTCCCAAAGTGTTGGGATTATGGGTGTGAGCCACTGCACCCAGCTGGAAAAAAATGGTTTTCTTTTAGTCACATTAATATGAAGATAGGTAACTAGGAAAAATAACAAACTAATCTTGTATGGAATTTAAGGCACCTGTGACTAATTAATGCATTAACTCCTGGAAATGAAAAGGCCCTTTTTGCTTCAGGATTCAGGATTCAAAATTCATGATTCAAGATCCAGGATGCGAGTCCGCTCTTTTGAACTTGATTCCTAACTTCCCAGCTCTCGTTAAATATGTCTACAGATCTTTGCCTGTTTAGTTGTCCCCCAGAAAGTCTTCAAGATGAAAGGAAAACTATAACCTGCAAAAGCTTTCTCCAGGGAAATTGACTTCGTGTGAGCCAGGAAGAGTTCAAGTTTCCACATGAAGTGCTTGCTGATGGATGGTTTATTCCCCTGCTCACTGGCTCTGCTTTCCAGGTATCACTGCAGGTATCGCTTTGTAATTTTTTTTTTTTTTTTAAATAAAGACAGGGCTTCGCCATGTTGGCCAGGGTTTGGTCTGGAACTGCTGACTTCATGTGATCCACCCACCTCAGCCTCCCAAAGTGCTGGAATTACAAGCGTGAGCCACCACACTTGGCTGCTTTTTAATTTTAAAAAGCGTTTCCTAAAGACCTTGGCAAAATTCTGAGACAAGTGGAAGAAATATGCCTCCAAAAAGGACTGTTCCATTTTAAACAAGGAAATCCTACGTTTTGTAAAGGGAGGAATGCTCTGTAAGGGCAGCAAACAAATGTGTTTCCAAAAATAGATTGTAAGGCAGCATTTCTCAGGCTATTGAGAACCCTGGTTGTTACATGAATGCTTTCTCAAAAAGAGCTAAAAAAAAAAAGTTCAGCCACTTACTTGACCTTAAACAGGCCTTAGAGCTGTGTGTGTGTGTGTGTGTGTGTGTGTGTGTGTGTGTGTGTGTATGTGCTATCCTCCACAGTCCATGCAATCATTATTACAAAAGGTCAAAATATCTTTTATTTGAAGAAAAGAGAGAAGAGTGACAATCATTTTTTCCATTAAGAGCTTTTTAAAGATGTTACTTTATTTTAATATTTAATTTTTTTTTTTTTTTTTTTTTTTTTTTTGAGACGGAGTTTCGCTCTTGTTACCCAGGCTGGAGTGCAATGCCGCGATCTCGGCTCACTGCAACCTCCGCCTCCCGGGTTCAGGCAATTCTCCTGCCCCAGCCTCCCGAGTCGCTGGGATTACAGGCACGCGCCACCATGCCCAGCTAATTTTTTTTGTATTTTTAGTAGAGACGGGGTTTCACCATGTTGACCAGGATGGTCTCGATCTCTTGACCTCGTGATCCACCCGCCTCAGCCTCCCACAGTGCTGGGATTACAGGCTTGAGCCACTGCGCCCGGCCCCTGAGGTCTCACTATTTTGCCTAGGCTGGTTTTGAACCCCTGAATTTAAGGGATCCTCCTGCTTGTCCCCCAAAGTGCTGGGATTATAGGCATGGGCCACCGTGCCTGGCCCTGGAAGAGCTTTTAGTAAAAACTTGGCCAGACATGGTGGCTCACGCCTGTAATCCTTGCACTTTGGGAGGCTGAGGCATGTGGATCACCTGAGGTCAGGAGTTTGAGACCAGCCTGAGCAACATGGCGAAACCCTGTCTCTACTAAAAATACAAAAATTAGCTGGGTAGGGTGATGGGCATCTGTAATCCTAGCTACTCAGGAGACTGAGGCGGGAGAATCACTGGAACTCAGGAGGTAGAGGTTGCAGTGAGCAGAGATGATGCCACTTCACTCTAACCTGGGTGAAAGAGTGACACTCGGTCTCAGAAAAAAAAAAAAAAAAAAAGATTATGTAAAGGCAACTAAATGTCAATTATTAATGTAACTGATTGTTATTTTGGAGCTTCTTATAATAGTCTTTTTTTTTTTTTTTTTTGAAAAAAAAGTTTGCCCCGGTGCGCAGGCTGTAGTGCAGTGGCGTGATCTCAGCTCACTGCAACCTCCGCCTCCTGGGTTCTAATTTCTAATGATTCTCCCGCCTCAGCCTCCCAAGTAGCTGGGATTACAGGCATGCACTACCATTGGCTGGCAAATTTTTGCATTTTTAGTAGGGACGGGGTTTTACCATGTTGGCCAGACTGGTCTCAAGTTCCTGACCTCAAGTAATCTGCCCACCTTGGCCTCCCAAAATGCTGGGATTATAGGTGTGAGCCACTGGGTGCAGCCCTATAACATTCTTTTGATTTATAAGTGTTTAAAAATATTTTATAATACAGGGGTTTTTTTGGTTGTTTGTTTTTTTGAGATGGAGTCTCACTCTGTCTCCCAGCCTAGAGTGCAATGGCGCTATCTTGGCTCATTGCATCCTCCGCTTCCCAGTTCAAGCAATTCTCCTGCCTCAGCCTCCCGAGTAACTGTTTTAATCAACTGGTGTGGTTGTGCACACATGTGGTCCCAACTACTCTAGAGGCTGAGGTGGGGGGATTCCTCGAGTCCAAGAATTTGAGGCTGTGGTGAACTATGATCATGCCGTTGCAGTCCCATCTAGACCACAGAGCAAGACCCTGTCTTTAAAAAGAAAATAAAAGTAAAGTAAATAAATAGTAAATGAGCATTATAAATCACTATAAAGATATGTTTGTCAAGGATGATAAATACCACATATCTGATAGTTTTCTTTATTTATAAATTTTAAATATTTAGATTCTACGAGGGAAGAGTATCTGTGTCAGTAGCTGGGAGGCCAACCCAAGCTCACTGTGTTAAGTAAATATTCCCTAGGTGAACACTATCCGCTTTTCACTTATTTATGTTAGCAGTAGCATGCACCAAGTCAGAAAGACTCATAACTATTTTAGGTTTCCATTTTTTGAATTCACATCATTCAAAATTCAAAAGGCAAAAGTAATATTCAATGAAAAATGTGGACAAGAAATATTGCCTGTTTCTTTCTTTCTTTTTTTTTTGAAACAGAGTCTCCCCCTGTTGCCTAGGCTGGAGTGCAGTGGCACGATCTTGGCTCACTACAACCTCCACCTCCCAGGTTCAAGCGATTCTCCTGCCTCAGCTTCCCCAGTAGCTGGGATTACAGGCATGTGCCACCACACCCAGCTAATTTTTGTATTTTTAGTAGAGACAGGGTTTCACCATAGTGGCCAGGCTGGTCTTGAACTCCTGACCTTGTGATCCACCCACCTCGCCTTCCCAAAGTGCTGGGATTACGGGCCTGAGCCACCATGCCCAGCCATCCGTTTCTTATGTTCCCTTTGAGAGATACTCTCTGCAAATATAAACAAATTTGTACCTTTTTATCCCCCTTTAAACTATCTTAACCTAAATTTATCATGTTATTTGTACTGTTCTTCACCTTGCCTTGTCACTTAATAAGATATCTTAAAGTTTTTTTTTTTTCTTT